GAGTAGTCGGCTAACGTCACCCCGGAACGTCCGGTGCGAAGCGCTCACCGACGTCAGTCCGTTTCACCACCGCGAAAGGCCGAAGAGAAGAAGACCGAATCCTGCGAGAATGCCGGCGGTGTCGAAAGGAGATGGAATGCGCGGATTAGCCGTTTTCATCTCGGACATAAGAAACTGTAAGTGATATTTCTGTCCTTGTTGTCACTGGCTCGTGCTTGTGTTGCTGAAGACGTGTAACGCGTAACGGGGCCGCAGGATCACGTTTCCTCTTCACGGAACAATTAAGAAACGGCGGCTTTCTGTCTCCCGACCATCTCACCACACGCCACATTTATGACGTTAAACACCCGGGTGTCTGCACGGGGATTTGGAACCGAGGTTCATTTCGCAGTTGAAAAGCAGCGACGTTTCTTTATTTCCACATAGAAGTCAGCAGACGGACTGATTCTTCGTAGGAAACCGGAAGGCAGCAGCAGATCTAGCGGACTTTGCGTTGTTCAGGTGTATAATAAAGCCCTGTGGTTTGCGTGTACAGGAATGTCTGTGTGGCTCATCACGGCATTAAATACCTGAGAGTTTCCCACAAGGATACAACGCAGCCTGCTAGTTACCCTGATCCACAGTGTCTCTATCGGCCGTGATGGAAACATCTGTGAATGTTTACTCTGCTTGGTACACTCTGTTTACTGTAACTACCACCATTAAGCTATATAATAACTACTACCACCATTAAGCTATGTAATAACTACTACCACCATTAAGCTATGTAATAACTACTACCACCATTAAGCTATGTAATAACTACTACCACCATTAAGCTATGTAATAACTACTACCACCATTAAGCTATGTAATAACTACTACCACCATTAAGCTATGTAATATAATAACTACTACCACCATTAAGCTATGTAATAACTACTACCACCATTAAGCTATGTAATAACTACTACCACCATTAAGCTATGTAATAACTACTACCACCATTAAGCTATATAATATAATACCACCATTAAGCTATGTAATATAATAACTACTACCACCGTAATGCTATATAATATAATAACTACTACCACCATTAAGCTATGTAATAACTACTACCACCATTAAGCTATGTAATAACTACTACCACCATTAAGCTATGTAATAACTACTACCACCATTAAGCTATGTAATAACTACTACCACCATTAAGCTATGTAATAACTACTACCACCATTAAGCTATATAATATAATACCACCATTAAGCTATGTAATATAATAACTATTACCATCATTAAGCTATATAATATAATAACTACCACTATAATACTATATAATATAATAACTACTACCACCATTAAGCTATATAATATAACTACTACCACCACAATGCTATATAACACTATAATACTATATAATATAATAACTACCACTATAATACTATATAATAACTACCACTATAATACTATATAACGTAATAATTACTGCCACCATTAAGCTATATAACATAATAATTACTACCACCATAATGCTATATAACATAATAATTACTACCACCATAATGCTATATAACATAATTACTACCACCATAATGCTATATAACATAATAATTACTACCACCATAATGCTATATAACATAATAATAACTACCACCATAATGCTATATAACATAATAATTACTACCACCACAATGCTATATAACACTATAATACTATATAATATAATAACTACCACTATAATACTATATCATATACTGCCGCATAATACTATATAACATAACTGCCACCATAATGCTATTAAACATAATAACTGCCACCATAATGCTATATAACATACATCATTTGCGACCATAATGCTATATAACATAATAACTGCCACCATCTTGCGATATAACATAATAACTGCCACCATAATGCTATATAACATAATAACTGCCACCATAATGCTATATAACATAATAACTGCCACCATAATGCTATATAACATAATAACTGCCACCATAATGCTATATAACATAATAACTGCCACCATAATGCTATATAACATAATAACTGCCACCATAATGCTATATAACATAATAACTACCACCATAATGCTATATAACATAATAACTGCAACCATAATGCTATATAACATAATAACTACCACCATAATACAGCAGCATGTGCTCCCAGTAATCATTCCTCATCATACGTTAGTTTGGCTGCAATAGTGATGTTGGGTACGAGTTGTGATTGAAATAAAATTTGTACATTGACGATCTGAGCCCTGCTGGTCTATGTCTATTGCAGTCATTTTCAAGTAAGGGTTATAGTTCTGCAAAGAAGGACTTCGTCCCGAGGCAGCTCTTACTGGAGATAAGGACACTAAATTATATAAAATACTAAAGCTGTAAGCGGGAGAATTTTTAGCTAAGCCTTTATTTAAAGTCTTTAATTATGAAAGCACTACTTGAATGATACTGTATGGTTCAGGATAACTATTTGAAAGGTATAATTAAAATTTAATCGGTTTG